CTGCCACATGTTTCTCTAGCTTTACCAGCCTGTCATCTATTTCAGGAGAGTGGCCAGCACACAAAAGCAGTCCCTAAATAAAGACTACTGGCAACTACAGTTTACTGAAATTTTTGTTATAAAATAAATACAATTGAAAGGATATGCCAAACAAGAGACATAATATTTTAGGTGCAGACATCACCACCATACAGAAAATTAAGCTGGGAAATAGAATCTGAAGTCAATTATTTATTTTTTTCCAATGACTAATCTTGGAATTCAAATTTTTTTAAAAAATTATTATTTTATCTTTTGTAAGTCCACAGAACTTTATCTGGCTTTGAAACTATTAATATTTTACAGATATGCATGGTGGATTCATATTGCTAGGAAATGAGATGCAATACATTTTCAGTCTGTGTGATGTTACTGACTCCCTAATAACACAGCAATAACATTCTATTAAAACTCTGGAGACACTCAGTAATTCCTCTATCACTGTTTATTTTGTGAGTTCTTAATTTAACTATGAAAAAAAATCATATCTTGCTGTATTCCTCATGAAGATTACTCTTCTGGTTTTTTCCTGTTTGTTTTAAAGAGCTACCAATTCTTGGCAAAAGTTGGACCTTCCTAGCGGGTGTCATAGGGTTTGTCCTAAGCACTACACTTCTCATTTTTACTGCTGTAAAATGCCCGACATGGTACCATTATTTGATCAGCTACCGTCACCGTCGTCTGGAAGAAAACGACTCGGACATGTTTGAACAGGAGTTTTCAGCTGACATGAGTTCTTCTCCTTCAGTATTGGGTAGACACAATGAAGAACCCATAGTAACATTTGAGAAAATTCATGCATTTGGGGATGGAGAAGATGGATTTATTGAGGACAAATACATAGATGCTTATGCAAATGAGCGTTAATGACGTAAACAATGGATGATGGACTGACTTTTCAAAATGTACACTTCTACTTCCATTTTATGCTATTCACATACAATACAAAAATGAAGCTATGTAGTCGATCTCCTTTCATTTCATCACATCTATAACAAGGTTTTGCTGTTGAAATGTGGTGACGTGTATGCATTATTGTCACAACAAAGAGCTCAACACATGCAAAACATACTCATAACCCACTTTTTATAAAAATCTATTTGGTTACTTATGTTGGGGGATAGGGAGAGCTTACTGTATATTGCTTAACATGAACAAGGCTTTACAAAGTAGCTTGTAAAGTTGGCCTAATCACTAATGCTTTAATTGTGAAGACGTCTAGAAAGGAAAAATAATTTCTCTAAAATGCTGAAGCAGACCACAGCCAGACTGGGGACTGAATCCAAATCAACAGTGCCACAGCTCAGTAGTCTATTATGCAAAATCAATGTAATAGATAACAGAGCATTTGGGTTTATTTTTACTCAAATTGGCAGGAAGAAAAGACCAACTGCTCTATTCCCTTAGATGCGTCTACATACAGTACAATGATGAATTATCATTACTGCAGATCTAATGCCGTTACGCCTTAGTTTGCTACTGAACCAAGTACTTTCGTATTTTCTTAACACAAAAATGCATTCAGGGGTAGAACAGACACGTTAGTGAGCTGTTGAAAACTGAAGTATTATTGAAACATGACTTACTATTAACTGGTAAATAGTCTTATTGAAGAGCTTATTGATAGTATCTCATCATTGAGGTTGCTTTCACTTGCAATAAGCAGCATTATATATCTTTCTCCGGCACATCTCCTGTCCCTAAATTAAACATCTCAGAAACTCACCCTCTCAGTCTATCACTACACAAGCCATTCTTATGGCTTACAAATTTTTACTGCAAGCATCTCACTGTCCTCATGTTTTTCTCCACACAACCTTACCTTACTAGACAGGTAAAGGTCTAGATTCCACTTCTGCTAGCTTTCCTCACTCTGCTACTCCACAAAAAATGCCCAAAACTCAATACCTTGACAGGAGGTTGCCAAAACACAGAAGTCTGCATTGCCACCTAACTCTTCCTGGATGGCATGGTAAGTATCTTCAGAGCAGTTACAGGAGGAGTTTAAAGTTAGAAATTCCAGCTGCAACCTGGCACTAATGTATCATCTTGAAATTGTTCAGGTATCACTTGTGACATGCATTGCACAATGAAGATAATAGGTAACACCTCCCTTTTCCCAAGCTGAGTTATAATTTTAACAGCTTTGGAGAAGCAAACACTTCATGTACTTACGCTTGTCTTTCGGTGAAAATTTTATCCATACTCTGAGCATCTCGGTCATTCTGAACTTTTAACTTAAAGACAAAAAGGATATAATATTGAAATAAAATCAAGCTTGTAATAAATCATAGGATCATTTAGATTAGAAAAGATGGTTAAGATGATGAAGTCCAACCCTTAACCCAGCACTGATAAGTCCACCATTAAACCCTGTCCCTAAGCACTGCATCTATATGTCTTTTAAATATCTCCAGAGAAATGAAATCACTTACTATTACAGTGGGATCTATTCCTGGAACACTTAGTAAAATACTCTTTAAGCCTACAGACAGAATGAAAAGGTAACACTCGTAAAGTGTTCTTCCCTTTATGATGCAGGCATGTGACTTTATTTTTAAATCAAATGCAGGGAACAAAATAGTTGTTTTGACCAGGTAATTTTTCAAGTTACCAAAACAGCCTGTTCTGAAACTAGTTTATTTTGTTTATGGACCAACTGATCATAAGAAAAGAAACATGCTTAATGCCACTTACGCCTTAACACTTAGAGGAACACTATGTGTGTATTGGAAAATAAAGAATGAAAACAAAGAAAGAAACTTCATTGATTTTGTGGTTGGCCATGTCAGAGACCTATTTAATACTTATTACACTGGAGACATTTAAACCGCTGAAGACAAAAAAGAATTAAATGTCCTGAAGACCAGGCAGCTTTACAAGGCAATGCAGTCCACTTCAATTTGTCTTTCCTAAGACTAATGTTCTGTGCTCCCAAGAAAATAAGCATTCTAACACTCATAATTTGGGTTAGGACAACGCCCTTCTCAAATCTAAATCATAGAAAACTTTCATGGGGTTGTTAATACAGCACTTCAGACAACTGTCTCACTACAGCCATGCTGCCAACTTTATGAATAGTTTAAATGGAAAAAAAATGGGTACATTTTCAATCAGTGCTATTCTTTTTCAAGATATGTCATACAATCAAAGCACCGAGAATGTAACAGACACAATTTTACTGTTAAAACATAGCAAATATTCTAATTCTTACCATATTGTAATCATGAATCACTTCTGCCACATCTGTACGGGTGTTAAGGATATCCACAACCTGAAATGAGGCAGTATTCCAACCTGTTATTGCTCTCCTTTTTATTAATTAAAAAATAATCAGACAAAGTGTTCATAAAAACACAGCAAATTTCTGTTATTGCAAATAGAAAAAGCAAGATCGGGAATGTGAATAGATTACATCTCATTTTCAGAAGTAATCATTGTTACATGTAGCTGTCCTAAACCCTGAAACATTATGTAGCACTAATTTCTTAAATCTATACACAACCATTTCTCCTCATGTATAGTACACTTCCCTTTTTTTTATTTTTTTTTTTGTTCCCATCTCTTTGCTTTCCAATAACTGATACAGGCAGTATTAACCAGTACATTTTTACAGAGAAATATCAATAAAAAAAGATGATGAAGAAAAGCAAAAACAGTACAAAGTAAATGAGAGAGTAAATGAGGGAAGGGAGAGCATTCAGTTTCAAAATTTGACAGCAGCATACCATGTTGTAGTCTGCTAGCTGACCTTGAAATTCTTTGATTTCACCAGCTAAAGCCTCTGCCCTAAACACAAAACAGAAAATCAAACTTACGATGGGAAGATTTCTATATGTAAAAACAAAATTATGAATAAAATAATTATTTAATGGTTTCTTGAAGCCTGCCCAGTACTTGAGAATAGTCTTGTAACTGCAAGTTAGCACTGCATTAGCTGCAATATATCTCACCGTTTTTCATACAACAAATAGACAGATTTCTCTTGCTTGTACATCTCTACTTCTTCCTGCAGCTTGTTGATTTCTGTTTTGAGTTCATTTGTTTTACTTCTGAAAAAAAATAAACAAAAAAGAATCATTAACATTTGAACGTACAACTACAACACAGCTAGAACAGAAAATATATTTTACTATAGGAGATGTGCAATCTCTTTGTCACACTGCACTGTTTCAAATAAGCATTTCAAAGAAGAGCTGAATAAGTGAAGAAAAAAGCCAAGTGGTTGTATCAGATAGTCATAAGCGGTTGATAGAAAAATTCAATATGAAATAAAATATTTTAATTTGCTTTTTGTCCCTGCTGCTGAAACAGATAAGAATTTTTCTGAAATGGACAGAAAAAACCCCATAATATAATTTCAATGTGGGTATCATCCATATTTAAAATTACATCTTTTAGGACTGATTATTCAAAACCGCAGTATGATCAACCAATACAATTCTGCATGCAACAGCTTCCACAAGGCTTTGCCTTTGTTGTTGTTAGCTCAATGCATAATTCAAGTAAACCACCTGAAATATACACCAAAAAGTGCTTCGTTTGTGAAGCTACTTCTTACAAATGGAGCTATCAGACCTAACAAGAACATTACAGGTGGAAGCTCTAAATCACTGACCCTCCTCTTACTAGTGCTATGGGTTTGCATTTAACTTAGCAAGCCTAACAACAAAACATCAAAGGAATCTACTTGTACTAGGACATAAGCATAAAATTCCTTTCTTCCTACAAACCACATGCAAAATAACCTTAGCTCTTACAGCAGGACTCTTATAATAGTTCATTGTAAGTGAAGAACACCTATCCACCTATTGTTAAGGTTAAAATCCATGTCTGAAAAAGAACAGAGCATTCAATCTCCCAAACTTTGAATGTGGTGTTAAGACATACCTCAGCAACCCAAGGAAATATGTTTTATCCATTATCTGTCTCTGAGGACCTAATAAAGGAGAGCAATGTGATACTTTATTAGGAAAAAGCCCTAATTTTGATGAACTGTAAATAATGAAAACAATCTGCAAAATTTACAGGCAAAAACCTGATATATTTACAGTGTTCTTAAATATCACCTCATTAAAAAAATGGAATTTTTAGATTGTTGTGAAGATAAACATTATTATTACAGATACATTAATAGCTACTGTATAACAGAGTACTCTAAAGAAGACACTATTAATCCTGTTCTATTCATCTGTATGATTTTTAAAGACAGCTCAGGTATAGAAAATCACTTTATCTTCTTTGACTGCCAAGAGCAACAACAGTAAGAGGTATCATTTCATCTTCCTTTTCTTTCTCCTGTCCTTTTAAATCACAGCTATTCACTCTGCAGTTTATACGGCGATGAAAACTTTTCCTTTAAAAACCTAAAAATTCCTTTAAATTCTTTGCAGACATCCTGACATCTTTTCAGTAGATAATACCTTTCATTGAAGTTTTCATTCCACTTAATCCCTGTTGAGTCACTGGACGGTCTGCAACTTTAATCTGAGATGATAAAACTCCTACAGTAGTCAATGAACCACCACGAGACCCAGGTCTTGCTGTGCCAGGAGGCATCTATAAAAAACCACATGCAACAAACCTTCCAAGTCTGAATTACGAATTTATTATCCTTATGCAATGCCAAAGCAATTAAAAACTTCAGTTAGTTAGTCTCTATACTCTTTCTATAAGAATCTTTTAGCGTTTACATCCCTTCAGGGAAATGAAGCTTTGGTCCAATGTCTGCTGCAGAAGGGTAAGGGATTACCATTGAGCAGCTGTTTGCTGTACTGTCTGTCTGCAACACTGACGCTACTAAGCTCTCCCAGGTCAGCTCTTGATGCTGGACCTCCCTCACCCCTTTCAGTCAAAATAAGAAACCAAAACTTTCTAGAAAATTAAAATCCTTAAAGTTTTTCGTAAAAAAGAGCTTTAACTTCTTCTGACTCCCAGTCACTGCAGTAAAAAAAAATAGCAAAAAATGAATAAAAATCTAAATATATCAAAGGTAATGATAAACCTTTTTTAACATACCGCTGTTCCTATTCTGGTTGCTGATGGTGTCCTTGAAGAGGGAGGTCTTGAAGTCAGCCCTACTCCTGCTCTGGAAGAAGAACGAGCTAGTGGAGGTCTGTGAGTGCTGGCCATGTTTGTTCTTTGAACTTCTCTCTGGAAAGAAATCACTCTTTAATTTGCACAAAATCCTTAAAACTACCAGAGTTGAACTCCTTAAAGCTTAACTCTTTCTCTTATTCAAAGAAGTTTAGAGGTGGTTTTCCTAGGAATCTGCTAGAGACTTCCTTACTGGAAAAGCATAGTACAAGACAGCAATAGGGCCGAGAAAGGGCCACTTAAGGTACATGAATAAGGTGAGGCAGAAGTCCCTTTTCAGTGCTTAGTCCTCAGCTTACTCTTGTGACATTTATTGTTCCAGCATCTGCCCACAGAACGCAAGTCTCTCCCGACACAGACTGGAAGTGAGCAGCTGCTGCCAACACCCATTTGGGTTATCTGCACAGTCCGCACGCCACCGGCAGCCACGGACAGTCCTAGACTTCGCCCTCCCTGATACACCGCGGCAGCTCTCCCCACGCCCCGGCAGAGCCC